TATTCTTATGGTGATCAGTTATCAAACAAAATTTTTCTATAGTGATCAGTTATCAAACAAAATATTCCTATGGTGATCAGTTATTAATATACAAAACATTTCTATGGTGGTCAGTTAGCTATTACTACTTAAGCAATCATTTTGTTAATCTCTCAATGAACAAACATCTTAAAGGTACAGATTTAATGTTAAGGAGCTAGGAGTCAGAAAAACACCAACCCCAAGTGCACTGACATTTCCCTACCCCTAAGGAAAAATTCCTTTTTTGATCTATAAAAGGAGCATCTATTAGTCACTATTTTTGCACCTCTGGCCTGTACCACAGTTCTGTATGCACAAATAAATAAATCTTTTTTAAAATTCGGGAAAAATTTCTTTCCTTATGGTCATTAATTATTATCCTATTAATCTTATCTTAAAAACCTTTCTGTGTGAAAATGGGTTGGGGTGAAAGTTAGAGGGAAGAGTAGGAAAACTTATTGTTATTTATAATTCTATTACTTAAAGCGAAACTATGTTACTTAAAACTATACATCTTTTATTGGGGACTGGGTAGGAAATTATTGCAGCCTTTGGTTCCCAGAATTCTTGGACTGTGACGTCTCTTGTTATTGTGGGACCTAGATTTGTGCCAGCTCTCTCAAGCAGGGTAATATTAATTATTTTACAACATACTGTGCCATTCTGTGTAATGCTATTGTTATTGAACCAATAAATCCAATCAAGTAATTACTGATTTTATATTGAATGTATATTTGGACAATTGCTATGCTTCTTGGGAACAACCAAAAACAAACCATACTTCTTGAAAATGGCTATAAACAAATAAAAAGAATCCAGTAGGAACCAGTTGTGGAATATTCTGACTTTTCAGGACTTTTTCCCCCTACATCAGGATCTTGTCATACAACGTGGGTAGCATGGACCTCAACCAAGACATAAATATGAGAACTAGAACTATAAAACTCCTAGAAGAAAAGTCAAGTGTAAAACTATATGCCCTTAGGTTAGATAACAGATTCTTTGATATAACACCACAAAATTACAAGTAAATAAAAAAGAGAAGCTTGATAAGCCAGACTCCACCAAAAGTTGAAACTTTCTGTCCTTCAAAGGCAACAATCAAGAAAGGGAGAAAATAATCCACCCACAGGGAGACAGTATTTATAAAATGAATATAAATTAAGGGATTTATATACAGAATCTATCAATAATGTTCTACAACTCAAAAATAAAAAGACAACTCAACTTAAAAGCAAAGAATCTAAGCAGACAATTATCCAGAGAAGAAATGCAAATGCCCAGTAAGTTCGTGAAAAGATGTTCAACATCAGTAGCCATTAGAAAACCGCAAATCAAAATTGTGTGTCACAACTACTAGGATAATTAGAATTAAAAAATTTAGACTCTTAGGAGTGCTGGTGATGATGTGAAAAAATCAGAACCCTCAGACATCACTGGTAGGGATGTAAAGTGGTGCAGAACTTTGAAAAAACAGTTTCAAAGTTCCTCAAAATGTTAACTATAGATGGAGCTGTAAAAGATAATGCTTAGTGAAATAAGCCAGAAAGAAAAGGAAAAATACTGGATGGTTTCACTCATAGCAGGAGTATAAAGGACCAGGCGAGAAAATAATAATAATAATGAACAACTATGTACTAGAGACATTTTATGGAGGTAGAATAGGGGATAATGGATCAAAATCGGTGGTGATGTGGGGAAGTGCACTGGACTATGGTGATGGCACATGGGTGATTTGGTGATGGGAAGCCCACAGGGATTACAACTGAGATGGAAAAAAGGCACAAAATGATGTAAAAATAAACTATTATATTATTTTTAAAAATTCTGGTGATTATGAAGGCTATCAAGGACCTGACAATTCATTGTCATTAAATTTTTCACTGCTATAAATTAGAAAATCTTAGCCCCCCCCCAAAAAAAATCTTAGCCATAGAGTTAACCTTATGACCTAATAATTCCATTCATTGGTATCTATCCAAGCCACATGAAAATATGCCCACATAAAAAAAATTGTCCTTGAATGTTCATGGAAATGTTATTTATAAGAGCCAAACAGAAAGGGGGAAAAACCCTCAATTGTTCAACGACTGATAAAACTGTAGTATAGCCACACAGTTTTCTGTTCTATTTTGGCATAAATAGAAGTGAGGTAATGATATACTCTGCAACATGGGTGAAACCTGAAAACATGCTAGACATAAAGGACCATAGATTATGTTATTTCATTTCTATTAAGTGTCCAGAAGAGGCAACTCCATAAAGACAGAAGGAAGAATAAGTTTTGCCTGTGGCTGTGGAGTGGGAATAAATGAGGAGTAATACTATTAGTAATACAAAGTTTCTTTGGGGTGTGATATGCAATGTTCTAAAATTAGAAATGTAAGTCACCCAATTCTGTAAATATACCAAAGTCCATTGAATTATACTTCTTTAAGTGGGTTAACTTTATGGTATCTAAATGCTACCTTAATAATTTTTTTTTGAAAAGCGAGTAAGATAAAAGAAATCAGAGGGATGAGGATAGACAAGTCTTCCAAGGAGTCTTTAAACCCATAAAGGTGTTCATATTTTTTAAAAATTCCCAGTAGGTAGCTATTTATCAGCATTTATTGTAGCAAAGGAAACAGGTTCACCAGATGGGGTAGGCTAGGGGGCGTTATTTGTGTCCCCAAATAGATGTTTTCCCATTGTTCTAATTTTATGCTCACTGTCAGAATCCACTCCAGAGATCAGAATGCAAGGGTCTGTGTCTTACTGAAGTTCCATTCTCTCCTCCTTTCTTTTTTTGTTCACGTTATCCTGGTCTGACAAGGTAGACTGAAGTAACAACCAGCTTTTATTCATCTCATTAAAGAAATAAATACGTGTGTATGTGAAGCAAGCAAGGCCACTACCCTTTGGGGGAAAAGCAGGGGGTTGCCCAGAAGCATTTTCTGCAGAGAAAAGGAAAGAATAAATAAGCTGTCTGCCAAAAATGCCTGGAACTTGAAGAACTTTCCTCTGCCCAAGGTCATGGGCATGGACAGTAACTGATTAGTTGTTGTTCTTCCCTTGATTAAAAGCACGTGGCTTTTTCCTTTCTGAAGTTCACCTCTGCTAATTCCACCTGCCTGGGGATTCATCCTCCACAGTACAAGTGGTAAACTCCGAGTAGTAATTGGCTGTGCTCCCAGGAACAATCTAACTGCACAGTGTCCCCAGCTATCAGAAGCATTGATTTCCAAAGCCATGGAGAAGGGTCGCTGTGATCAGACACCCCATCCCACAGTGGGAAGGAGAGCTGAAAGCGGGTAGAGTTATTGAACCACACCTCCCTCCCTTCTTCTTGGGACTGGGCATTCTTGGTTTTGTCTTTTTCGTGGAATGAGTCATTCACCTTGGGAGAATTGTGGAAAAGTACCAGCCACAACCTCTGAGACCATTCTTATCCTGGATCCAGACACCCCTATCAGTGAAGGTCCTCCTTTACTCTCTTCCCCCACCATGGCTTGAATACAGGCACTGAGAGGATTCTCGCTCATCCCAGAATGGCCACTGATCCCTGTGAGGCAGTGCAAAGAGCAGAGGTGACCGCCACTGTCAGGTCCAGCCCCTCCTGCTACCACCAGTACCCCCTGGCACTTTGAAACCACATTGTATTCAGCCTTCTCCTCTAGGTTCTGAGTAACCTTCCCCACAATCTGCTTGCCTGGCCTGGGCTTGTGCTTTTAGCTTCATTGGTCCTCTCACCCACACCCCTGAGGCCAGAGGTCAGTAAGACCAGTTTCCCTCAGAGGTGCTCTATTCACTGTGGAATCTGCATCTGCCATGCAGACTTCCCTGCTGTGTGTTCTGGTTCTAGCTTCTCAACCCCACCTGGCCTTAATGCAGACCCTGGTATCCTGCCTAGCTTCAAACCTGATATTGACCTGTCAAGAGGCTGTGAGGCCTCCTATCATCCGTCATGGGGCAGACAGTTCACCCCTAATTACTCCACTGTTTTCCTTGTAGGATTTGGTTTCTAATGTCATCCTTATCCTTATCGCCCCTCTCCCAGACAGGCCGCCTTTGGTTAATATTTGTTCTTTTCTTCCAGTCACTCTGCATAATGCTTAAAAATACAAGATTTGAGATCAGGTGATCCAGGTTATGCCACTAACTAGCTGTGGGCCACTAGAGAAGGGCCTTAATCTTTCTGAGCATCCATTTCCTTATAACCATGTCGTGCTGGTAACAATAAATGAAACGATCACTTAGCGGGACTTCAGACATTCCTTGTAACTATTCCATATATGTTCCCTACTATTTTTAGATATTTTTGATATCCATTCATAGGATTGTTTACTCATTCCCGATATATTTACTGAGCCCCGTGCCAGGCTGTAGTATATAAATATATATATTTTAAAGAGTGGCATCCTGTGAAACTCAGGAAGAGCAGAGAGCTGAGGCGCCAGGCCATTGCACAACAGCAGAGGAGAATAGAGACTGACCGCTGGGTGCTGCCCTGGGAGGGGGTGTGACGAGAGTCCGTCCACGTTTCCCTTTTACTCTCACTTCGACTCGCTATGTAAGCAGCACCATAAGGAAGAAGGGGGAATGCCGGAGTGGGAGGTGAGAAATCCCTAGAGAAACACCCTCCCTGCTTTTCTCTTTGACAGAGAACACCATGCCTCTGCCATGCAAGAGGGGTCACGTCCCTTGGGGAGGCCTTGCAGAATCTGCCTGGGACTGTTCCGGAAGTAGGAAGGGCGGCCGGGGGGTGGGGAGACTGCAGGAATGTTCTCCTGGCCTGCTGCTCAGAGCAGGCGAGTGTGCCGAGAGGAGGGCCTCTGGACATCAAAGGTTCCTTTTGTCCCCTTCCGAGTGGCAGGACAGCCCAGCCGCTGGCGATGACTCAGGCCTGGCCCTGACGTCACCCACGCCTGGCCACTGGCCGCCCTCTGCAGCCAGGAAGCCGGCTGGGGAGTGGCACTCGAGCTGCAGCAGTTCTCAAAATAAGGAGGCCACTGCCTCTCTCTTCTCCACCTCCCTACAGCACACCTTGCTTTCCTTTTTTCCATTTTTTTTTTTCCTTTTTGTTTATGCCTCATGGAAGGTTTTACTTGTAGATCAACTTTCAAAATGTAAGAAGTCAGCATGCGTGACGTTATCAGAAAAATATGTGGTGCTGATCTCGACGAGAAGTGAAGAAGTGAAGAGGGCGCTTTTAACTCCTGAGCCCAGGGAGTTGGCAGCATCTGGGTTTCAGAGGAGCCAGCACCTCCGAGTAAGTGAAGGCCGACCCCCGCCCCCTCACTTGCGCCCTCACTGTGGGGCGCCATCTTGTTCCCTGACACCTGCGGCTCCCCAGGCCCCAACCCAGAGGGAGGGTGCGGGTTGCACGCGGACATCCTCCAAGGACAGCGCCAAAGGGATCTGATCACTGTCTTCCCACAGGACCAGACGCGATGGCATTTCCTCTCAAAAAATATAAACAACAACAAAACCCTAAGTTTGAAGTCCTGGAGGAAATGGCCCCAGTCGCGCCTTCCCCTGTCAACCCTCATGTTTTGTCTCTTCCTCCTCCTGCCCTCATGCGCTGTTTTGGACTGTCAGAGTGTTTGCCCAGAGTTCTGAACTGTTTGCTTCCTGGATCTTATATCTGACGCAGAATCAGTCTCCTATTTTAGGCAAATATATTCCCTGTTCCGTCAAGTGGTATTTTTACCCTTAACCTGGTAAAGGAAGATTGCTCTGGTAAGAAAATGTCCAGTTTGCCTGACCTTACAGGCGGTGTCGGCAGCTCTGGTGCGCCCACCGCCACTGTCTCACCTTCACCCTGTTTACAGAGAACTTATTTTCATTGCCATGGGTGTTGTCTCTGGTATGGTAGTTGACACAAAGACAGATTATAATGCATCTCTCATGTCTGTTTTAACTTCATCTAAAAAAAATCTAAAGTTTTTTCATAGTCTGTAATTTTATAAACTGGAATTTCCTACCTAAGAAACAAGGTCTCCAGAGAAAAGTTTGGACACGCACGGAAGTCGCACGGAAGTACTGCCAGAGCACATAGGCCTAGAAAAAAAACATACCCACTATTTCTGGCAGCCAAAGTAGGTACAACTCTGGATATCCACAGAGTTCATACCTAGTCCGGCATAGCTTACTTAGCAGAGCAGGGTTCTTTATAACTTCTGTGTTATAATAATTGGAAGGAGAGTGTATTTTTAAAATAAATCTTATTTTTAAAGCAATAGGGAAATTTGTCATTTACTGGAAAACAGTGGCTAACTCTTTTGTAAACTGGCAACATCCTTTAGAAATTAACCTTCACTCGATATCTGTGCTGTCATATGTTTGATTTTTGTTTTATTTTACTATATCAGGTTGTCTTGGAGTGACGTTCTCCGGAACTACTGTTCTTCTAGCTGCAAGATCTAAATGCTGTGGCCACTAATTTGGTGAGTTCCTATCTGTTGCTTAAATTTAAATTTCTTTTTTCTGCTTTTTTGATTTGTGGTAAGATTTAAAGAACAGGGAGAAGGCACCCAGACTTGTGCACACAATAATAACAGCTGTATCAAAGAAGCTATGTATAATTGAGATAGGCTACTTGATGTAATAGACCAAAAAATATATAATGACTAACACAATTGAAGTTTATTTCTTGCCCACATAACATTGCAACTTAGTGGCACAACTTTCACACCTTTACTAAGAGAGGGAGCTTGAGAGAGGTTCCCCATCTGTAGCAGGTGACTGTCAAGGTCACTGAGGGTCATCTCCACCTCTCAGTAGATGAGGATGAAGTGCACACGAGAAGTTTCCATCGGCCTTGCCTGGAGTGGCAGCACATTTCTACGCCCATTCCTTTCACTAAACTTCAGTCACATGACTACACCTAAATGCAAAGGGGTCTGGGAAATGTAGTCCTCAGTGGGGCAGCCACCTTTCAGGGTCACCTCTGGAGTTTCTAGAAAAGAGGTAACCCTCTCTGGCACAGGATAAGGACTTGGAGATATTCAAGGATAAGGTAATGGAAGGAAGCAGTGGGAGAAGTTAAAAAATTAGAGATACTTAAAATTCCCTGACATTCTTAGGTAACATCTGACATGCAGGCAAGGAACAGTTGGTAAGGTTTTTCCAGAAGGTGCTGCGCATTCCAACCGCTGGTCGTTAAATGAGCACTGCAATGTCACCAGTGACCAGTGAACCAGGAAGGACGGTCTTTCCTTCATTTTTCCCTGCAAGGTTCTCTTGTCTAGGTCTATTCTGCTTTCGTCTCCTAGTCCTATGTTGATATGGTATTTGGAATTACCCAGCACAATTCTCTTCCCCAACTGTGAGCCCCAATAGTCGGAACGGAAGTTCATGGTTCTCTCTGCCCCTGGGCTTTGGGGAGATACCTTACCTGATCTGTGCTAGACTTTGGGATGCTTTTAATCTTGGAGCAGGGCAGGAATGGGAAGGAGACTCACTGTCTCGGATGGGCTCTTCAATTTACTAAAGAGATACTAAAAAGTAGACTACAAAGGCTGGGAAGTGTAACGCTTTCCTAAGGATTTGATACCTATTTCTGCTTTTTATTTTCAGGAAAAGCTTCAAACATTTACTGAATCACTGAATGATAAGATCCCTGTTTAGCGATCCCTGACCTAATGTTTTATTTTATGTATACTTTTAAACCTTGTTTTTTTTTTTGGTACAACATTCTTCTCACTGGCAAATCTCCAGAACCATAGAGTGGACACTTTATGGGGACCTAAGGCATCATAAAGACCCCAAATAAAAATGGGCTGTGTGTGCTCACTTTCACAGCACGTATACTAAAAATAGATTTCCACCTTTCCCTGAGCTGCCTGGGAGTTCTCTAGTTTTATTTTTGATATCTGGGTGACACTAGTTTCTGATTGAATTTTGTCCTGGGACATGACATTTCTGGCACCCACACCCATACTCTGAAGAACACACAGTGTCCATTGTGTGAGAAAGCCAGCTAACTGGTCAGTTTGATGGTGTCTCCCAGAGCTTGGTGCCTGCTGTTCCTGTTGCCTCACTTTAGCTCAGTCCCCTCATATCAGGAGTGAGCTGAAAACGCATGGAAGACTATAACGAGTTGATTTGCTACAAAAGCGCTTCAGGATCTAAAAGCTCATTCTCTTGGGCCAGTAGGTCATAAAAGTGTCCTCTTCACCAAGAGCAGGCAGGGCCAATGATGTGACCATAAGGTATGACCAGCTTGAATGGGGGGATGTGATGCCTGTTAGAACAGTGCAACCAAAGGAGTAAGTTGAGAACTATTACCAGGTTTCAAAAGCAGGAGCCAAGCGAGGATGGGATGTCCTTACTTAACAGAGTCCGGCAGGAAGCTCAGGGGCCGGGGGAGGAGAGGTGTCAGGTCCATTCACTTGGGAGACCTGAGAGTCACAGCCTGTTAGTTTCAACTCTCAGGTGATAATGACTCCTCAAAGCCCTAAGTTTGCATGAATTCACATACGAAATTGGGGTGGGACCAACCTCCTGATTTCTGACATCCAGCTGCCTAGTGTGGCGGGGTGAGGTGTGCAACCACCAAACCTGAAGTTCACCTCTGTCAGCACCACCTCTTCACAGTCACACACTGGGGTCACACACTGAACAAAGCAGGGTAACAAATATGTACTTTGTATGTAATTTGGCTTTAGACATTATCAAAATATATGTCAAAATAAGCATCATAGGAAAAATTAAACTTTCATGAATTTGTTTTAACCAGAAATTGACATGTTATTATGTTTTAAATGTTTAATTGCACAGGAAGGATATAATTCAAACTCGGGGCACCACAGTATTTCCAGAACTTACATGATCTAAAGCTCGTGGCCTGGACACGTGGACCCATGGGGAGTGTCCCTAGCAGGTTGACAGAGGCAACACCTGTACCAGTTTGGTTATTTTTAACTCCAGAAATTTATAGTTTTTGTAGCACAGACTCACAAACCTCCTTCTTAGCCTAGGTCAGTATTTTGATTTTTTTTTTTTTAACTATTCTGAGAGAATTTTGTAATAAGGCCACATCATATTCACCAAAGCTAAGAATTCATGGTAATAGGGCTTCATAACTCCTCGTGTTGAAATCCCCTACATTCTTGTCAAGAATGAAATTAGAAAATACCACACTGAAAACTTTAGGGTTTTGTTTTTAATTCAAGAAGCTTCTGGTTTTTATCAGAACTTTAGTGCTTCCTCTTGGCCTCTGAGTGGTGTGGTGTTTTGTTTGTTTGGGGTTTTTTTATGTAAAAGAGATTCTGAGATTCTATCAAAATAACTAAGGTGACATATTGAAATGGTTTGGGTAATTTAGAAAAATGCATGGTGAGTCAAGGTTTTCATGGAAAAAAATCATAATATGGCTAACCATTGGCATTGTGGCATTTGATATTACTATTAATATTGTGTCATTATTTTAATTTTTTTGGTCTTCCTAATTGATTTTCATCTGAAATCCTTAGCTCTCTGCCTAAATAGCCAAAGTATGGGCTATAAAAATTCCAAGGACATCTGGAAAGGTTTGATTCTAGGCCAGAAGCCTTCCTAGCTTCTAATTTTATTTTAAGAGGGGTTTGACCTGAGATTTACTGACGTATGTCAGGGACGATGGATTTGAGCAATCTCGCTGCCCACAAAAAGAGGCTTCTCCACATTCTATTGGACACCCAGTGCATTGGTGAAAGAAGGCTTTGAAACCACTCTGTAGGCGCGTTGACTCTAGGTGGGGTTCCTGAGCCAGAATGAGTGCATCATCTGTCAAAAGCCCCTCATTGTGAGTGCAGTCTGTGGGCTTTGTATTAGAGGGTCGGGTCGGAGGATTCCACAAGTATGTATTCAACTCCCAAACACTGAAGCTCTCATTTAAACAGTGAACTCAGCCTCATTTCTCCATTTTATATTTTATAATGTGTTATTTTCAAATACAGCAGGAAAGTAGTATCCAGTGACAAGAACCTTCTCACCAACCTTCTTCACCCCAAAATTCCTTGTCATGAGCTCTATCACCTCTCATGGATATCCTGCAGCTAGGCTGCAGCTGGGCTAGATTCTTCCTAAGAGACTGTGCTTACCCCTGTTTTCACTCTACATGAGATAGTTTCTTTTAAAAAATTTATCTTTGTTAAAGACGGGCTGCAAAACTACCCCGAGATAGCTGACAAGAGAACTGAAACACCAAGTGGCAAGGGTGGGAGAGGGAGAGTGAAGAGGGAAGGAAGCATGATAGTCTGTGGTATTGGAATATGGGTGAGTGGGTGGTGGGTGCGCTGTGGTGGTGATTCCTGATGGAGGGACCCTAGTGTTATGTCAGTTAACAAATAATTAAAAAATAGTTTTTTAAAAGTGATACAGCCAAACAATGGAATATTTTTCAGTCATAAGGAAGAAGAAATATGGCCACTTACAGCAAATTGGAAGGAATTCAAGCAATTATGTCAAGCAAAGTAAGTCAGAATAATGAAGACATAGCACAAAAAAGCAAGTGGACATTCATTTTTCAAGGAAATTAGATTTCTGAGTTTTTGGTAGAGCAACTGCCAAAGGGGTAAGAGGGATAATGATGGGAAAAATTCCAACGGAACACTAAAAAATTATCACTCTTTTTCAGATAAAAAGAGCCATAACTAGTCACTATTCAAAGTCTGGAAAATACAGAAAATTATCAAGAAGAAAACAATAATCTCCAATAACCCAACAACAAAACAACAATTCAATATTAGCATTTTTATATATTTCTTTCCACTGTTTCTAGATATATTCTTACCTTCTTTAAAAAGTAATTTAAATAGCATTTTACATGACTTTCCTTCTCCCCATTTAATGCTATGCTCTAAACATTTTTTCAAGTGAAGATAATGGTCTTTAATATTTGATTTTTTAATGGTTATGTTTCCACCACAGTGATAGGTCTTCATTTATCCTTTTTTTAATGACATTTTGATTAGGTATAGTGTTCTGCTATTACAGACATGTAGATATATTTGTGATAAATAATTTTGTGGACATCTTAGGGAAAATTTAGAATTAAATCAGTAGATCAAATGACCTGTTTGAATTGCTTCTAATGCCTATTGGTAAATTAGCTTCTAAAAAGGTACTAGTGTCTGTGTCAAAACCTTGGTCCTTTTTGTTCTCTCATTAAACAAATGTTTCTAAGCCCCAGTGGCAATAGAAGTTCTGAGGAGGGAGCCTAAGAATATGCATTTTAATATTGCCTCCCAATTTTCATGCACATTCAAACCTGAGAACTACTAATCTGGTGCATTCAGTTCAATATACATTCAGTTCAGCATTTAATATACAGGAAAAGTCTAAAGAAACCCAAACCAGTATAGCTAAACTAAATTTAACTTGAAAATCTTTGGACTTCTGAATGCTTTATTTTTCTCTCTATATGTGTGTGTGTGTGTGTGTGTGTGTACATATATATATA